TTATGAACCTTCGGGTTCTGTGTCTTATTCATTGTTAAATGTTTAGGACTATGCTTAATACTTGCTTGGCACTTAGATAATATTTAATAAATTTGAGAACCAGTACAAATTAATTAACCATAACAGAGAAAATTTGTGGGCTCAACCTTTGATAATAGTGAGTGAAATTGGGAGTGTGGAACAGGATTTTTGTAAAAAAGGATGTTGCATAAACATCAGAGGAAGTGAGAAACCTATTAGCAAGCTTCAGGTCACCATTTTTTTTTTTTTTTTATTGTAGCAGCAAGGAATTTCTAGGTGCAATGGCTTGATTAACTTCTTTTCTGTCTTTATTGAAATGCTTCTTGTCAGACATAGCGTTTTACCAAGCAGGAAGAAATACATACAGTGGATTCATTATTTTGAATGTCTGTTTTGCTTGAGATTTTTGAATAGTTGATTCCCTTTTCATTTTTTAACAGCCTACCCCAATCTGGCAGGTGTGGAGTGCTTCAGCTTTCATAGAGATGTGAATAAAGGAACAGCTTTAAGTCATAGGTCTTCATATTGAGTATGAACCTTAAGAGTCATGGGATTTGTTGTTAAACTCCAGAGAAACATAACTGGTCAGTAGAAGGGTGGAGACAAATTTAAAAGCCAAAAATTTTTAAGGAATTTAAGGAGTGGAACCTAGAAAAGGTGTTAAGTAGAAATAATGTTTCTCTGTTTATGAGGGTATTAAATGAAAATATGGGATTTTGAGTCACATTTTTAAATATCTTAAAATTTCTACTAAATGTTAAAAGCATTTTCTTCTGTAGCATGACCATACATATTTATAAGGTAAAACAAATATAACTTCTACATGAAATATCATAATTTATTTTTACTTTGGCACATTTGAGCCACATTTCATTTGGGAGGTAACCCTGATAGGGAGCAATCACGTGAAACCATGTTCAAAAGAAAAAGCCCAAGTTTCAAAAGTGTTTTACTCTTAATACTGTTTTCTGTATATTATTAATTTTAAAAGTATTTTCAGAGCCAACTGAAGTTCAATTTAGAAATGTAATTTATATTTTTCCTCTCAGATGAAGCCTTAAGCATATGTTTCTATTAATTTAGTTAAAATATGCTGAGTTGGGTATTTTTTAGGAGAATCTGTTTTGAAAACATTCCAAAATATTTGTTTGAAAAGGCACTCAGCATCTCGATGAAAACTGTTGGAAAAGAAAAACTTTCAGAGTCATTCTGCTCTCAGGGTATCCAAGCCAACTAAACTGGTACAGTTAACACTTCTATTAGAGGCCAGGAGCCAAAAAAATGTAGCACTTCTTGGACTGCTTTTCTGCAAGCCTTCAAGCCAACTTAGTGGTTGATATTAATACCTTTGGATTTTCAGAGTAAAAAGCTACAAGTAGAACATCTACACCTCTCTATTAATATCCTACTTGTTACTCTCTTTCATAATCTTTGATCAGTTGCAATGTCTTTTTTGTTGGCATTAAACCTATAATTCTTTCTTGAATTTTGTGGGGTATTGTTCTTGCAAAAAAATAAATGAATGCTGTGTAGATTGCTTTTTAGTACTGCTGTCACAGTAGATATACAAATTATACAGAATACTGTAATGCTTTGGAAGGGTTAGTAGTTATCTAAGGCTACCAAATTTATAAGTAGGGATAGTTTACCCAGCTTCCAGCCCTCATGTTTTCTTTATATCATCTTCAGATTTATTGACATCCCTTACTTCACTTAGTAATGATATGCTTAGTAGAGATAGACTGTCATGTTGATCTATATATCCACATATTTGCTCTAGTAAGTGCTTAACTTTAAGATATATGTTGGGTTGAACTGGAGAGTACCCATCCTATTTAGGTGCTGTGGTGGAGAATAAATAGAAAAAGAAAGATTCAGAGATTCTGTATACTAACTAGAGAGATAGGATTAAATTTAACATCTATACTATCATTTCTCTAATATCTAATAGTTGGAAAAATAACAAACTAAAATTTCAGTCACTTGTTTTTCAAGTATTTCCACAAGATTAGATTAACTGTCTCCAGAAATGACTAACACATTTTTTAATTTAAATTCAATTTAATTAATACATAGTATATTATTAGTTTCAGAGGTAGAATTTAGTGATTCATCAGTTGTAGATAACACCCAGTGCTAATTCCTTCAAGTGCCCTCCTTAATGCCCATCACCCATTTAGCCCATCTCCCTCCCCTCTTCCCCTCCAACAACCCTCAGTTTGTTTCCTATAGTTAAGAGTTTCTCTGCTTTGTCTCTGTCTCTGTTTTTGTCTTATTTTTCCTTCCCTTCCTTTCTGTTCATCTCTTCTGTTTCTTAAATTCAACATATAAGTAAAATCATATTTGTCTTTCTCTGACTGACTTATTTTGCTTAGCATAATACCCTCTAGTTCCATCCACTTCCTTGCAAATGGCAAGATTTCATTCTTTGATGACTAAGTAATATTTCATTTTATATATGTGTGTATATATATATACACATATATATATATATATATATATATGCCACATCTTCTTTATCTATTTATCTTTCAATGGATACCTGGGCTCTTTCCAGAGTTTGGCTATTATGGACATTGCTACTTTAAACATTGGGGTGCATGTGCCCCTTCAAATCTCTATGTTTGTATCCTTTGGGTAAGTACCTAATAGTGCAGTTGCTGGATCGTAGTGTAGTTCTGTTTTTAACTTTTTGAGGAACCTCCATACTGTCTTCCAGAGTGCTGCACCACTTTGCATTCCCATCAACAGTGTAAGAGGGCTCACTTTCTCCAAATCCTCACCAACATCTGTTGTTTCTTCAGTTGTTAATTTTAACCATTCTGACTGGTGTGAGGTATTATCTCATTATGATTTTGATTTGTATTTCCCTGAGGCCAAGGGATGTTGAGCACTTTTTTGTGTGTCTCTTGGCCATTTGTATGTCTTCTTTTGGAGAAATGTCTGTTCATGTCTTCTGCCCATTTCTTTTTTTTTTTTTTTAAAGATTTTATTTATTCATTTGACAGAGAGAGAGAGAGATCAAGAGAGATCACAAGTAAGCAGAGAGGCAGGCAGAGAGAGGGGGAAGCAGGCTCCCCGCCAAGCAGAGAGCCCGATGTGGGGCTCGATCCCAGGACCCTGAGATCATGACCTGAGCCGAAGGCAGAGGCTCAACCCACTGAGCCACCCAGGCGCCCCAGTCTTCTGCCCATTTCTTGACTGATTTTTTTGTTTTCTGTGTGTTAAGTTTAATAAGTTCTTTATAGATTTTGGATATTAGCCCTTTATCTGGTAAGACATTTGCAGATACCTTCTCCCATTTTGTAGGTTGCCTTTTAGTTTGGTTGACTATTGCTTTGCTGTGCAAAAGCTTTTTATCTTGATGAGGTCCCGGTAGTTCACTTTTGCCTTTGTTTCCCTTGCCTTTGGAGACATGTCTAGCAAGAATTTGCCATGGCCAAGGTCAAAGAGGTTGCTGCCTATGTTCTTTAGGATTTTGATGGATTCCTGTCTCACATTTAGGTCTTCCATCCATTTTCAATGTTTTTGTGTGTGTATGGTATAAGAAAGTTGTCCAGTTTCGGGGCACCTGGATGGCTCAGTGGGTTAAGCCTCTGCTTTCGGCTCCGGTCATGATCTCAGGGTCCTGGGATTGAGCCCTGAGTCGGGCTTTCTGCTCAGCGGGAAGCCTGCTTCTCCCTCTCTCTCTGCCTCCCTCTCTGCCTACTTGTGATCTCTCTCCCTGTCAAATGAATAAATAAAATCTTTAAAGAAAAAAAAAAAAAGAAAAGGAATTTGTCCAGTTTCATTCTTCTACAGGTGGCTGTCCAATTTTCCCCACACCATCTGTTGAAGATACTTTTTTCCATTGGTTATTCTTTCCTGCTTTGTGGAAGATTAGTAGACCATAGAGTTGAAAGTCCATTTCTGGGTTCTCTAGTCTGTTCCCTTGATCTATGTGTCTGTTTTTGTGCCAATACCATACTGTCTTGATGATTACAGCTTATGACTAACATAAATTTTAAGCTTCTTTCACAACTGTTAAGTGCAAAAGAGTTATATGGAACCAGAGAAATCTGAGCTTTTTCCCCTTCATTATTTGGATCTGTATGTAATCTGAAAATAGCATATTATATGCAGTTTGGGGCACAGTATCATTTGTGACTTAGAAGGATTTGAGAGTCATGCTACTCTGCCTGGTCTTTCTGTTTGGGAGTATATTACTGGAAGCTTAGGAGCAAATGGAGGGAGTTTTGGTAAGGAACTGGCAGCGTTAATGACGAGAAATAATTGAAAATTAGAATCTGCTGTTGATTGGGACATAGTTATGGGAAGGAAGCATATACATAAATAATAGCATAATAGGATTTGTTACTGAAGTCCAAATAAAGTAAAATGAGGCAAAATATCTGTAGTGTCTTCATGTTCCACTTGATAATACTTGTGACAAGTTTCACAAGGGAGGTAGTTGAAATCACTAATCTTTAGTACATGAACCAAGCAATAGATATTTTATTTGTCATACGAGGTAACTTTGGCCCATAAAGAAGGAGTGGAAACTTCTTAGCAGAAGAGAGTAGTTCCTCTTTAGTATAGGAACATTTATGACAATAATTTCTTTGATTTAGTGCCAGAAACTTTTTGAGAGAATATTAAAAGCTGTGTAGGTTTAAATTTCATTGTTGAAAACTGACAGCTGCTATATACTTCTTTTTCATATCTGACTGAAGCTGTTTCTGTTATGTCTCCTCTATTGCTAAATTCCTAAAAATTAAAAAAGTGTATTTATAATAGTATTATGAGAACAAAAGCGTTAGTCTTTGGATTGGATAATACTTCCTTTGTGACATTTTCTTTTCCCACCCAAAGTGAGAACTGAATGCCTTGCCTTGGTACATCCCATTTCTAATGGAGGACAAGAAGTTATTTTCCTCAATGGCTGACTTCCAGAATTTCTGGCTGAATGCTCTTTGTCAAGTGTATATTCCCTTCTCTAGGCCTTTCTATATAGAGCCCACAAACATCGTCAGTGTGAATGATGTCATTCAGAGGGTTAGCGACCATGCCTCTGCCATGAACAAGAGGATTCATTACTACAGCCGGCTCACCGCTCCTGCAGACAAGGCACTGGTAAGGGGCAAGCATTGCTAATTGTCTAAAGTTAAGTTGAAATAAACAGTGAACAGCATAAGCCAGGGAAACTCCCAGTGACTGATCTTTTTTTGCTGGCCATATTCCAAGGATGGCATCATGGAAAATCAAGATAATAATTAGTACACATCTTAACATCCCAGACTAGTTTATTCTTATCTAGCATGATGAAGAAATTTGAAATAATCTCTCTTTGTTGACAATAGCCTGAGATTTGTTAGATTAAATTCTGCTAGTCTCCAATCCTAAGAGCTCTGAGGAGAATAAACTACTTCTAAAGTACTTTAGGTCATTGATAAATAACATAAATAATAATAGATCCAGTTAGTCCATTCAGTTATTAAGTTTGAAGCTACAAGGGAAAAAAATTTTTGGAATTTTTCTACTAGAGTGGGAAACTGAAATACATATAAACAAATATATTATTTTACTATTTAGCAATGTCCTTGTATAGATAAAAAACAAGGGTCAAAGAGCAGATTCTAAACGTTTTAGGCTTTGTGGGACATATATTATTGCATATTCTTCTCCACTTTTGGTTTTGGTTTGTTTTTGTTTAAGATTTCATTTGTTTATTTGAGAGAGAGAACACTAGAGAGAGAGTAAGCACAAGTGAGGGGCACCTCCACTTATCTGTTAGGATCATTACAAATATATAAACCATTCTTTGCAAAGAGGATGTAAAATAATAGGTTGAGGGCCGGATTTGACCATGGGTGATAGTTGTTGATTTTTGGTCTTCTAAAGTCCATATTATTACTTTAGGATCAAAAATATATATTGGAGGGCACCTGGGCGGCTCAATCATTGGGCACCTGCTTTCGGCTCAGGTCATGATCCCGGGCTTCTGGTATCAAGCCCTACATCGGGCTCCCTGCTTGGCGGGAAGCCTGCTTCTCCCTTTCCCACTCCCCCTGCTGTGTTCCTGCTCTCACTGTCTCTCTCTATCAAATAAATACATAAAATCTTTAAATATATATATGTGAAGTAATCTGGTTGCATATAAGAATCACCACATGTGAGATATGCGGAAACTTAAAAGCTTAAAAAAATGGAAACATTCTGGGAGGAAAAGTGATATTTTTATAGATGATAATAAAAAAAAGGAGAACGAAACCAGTATTCTTTAGGTGTTCACTGAGGGACAAGGCTTGAGATATCTCAAGTAAAGCCATGTGAGGTATTAACATCTCCTTTTGCATAGCTGAAGTAGTGATTTCCAAAATATTCTGGTCATTTTTTCCCCCAATTTTTTCATTTTTCCTCCCCTAGACCTTTATATCAGTACTTGTCATAAAGACTTAGTTCCAACGGGATTATTTAAGCCTTCTGCGGAGTAGAAGTAATCCAATGTCTCTGGGTCTAATTCAGACCTAGAAGCTCTTCTTGTGGAAGCAGGCTTCAAAGATACTGGCTGGGCCAGTCTAGTCCTGAATGGACATTGTTTGGCTGGAAATTAAGTCAACAGTGTACACCAAGTTGAATACCTTTTGTTAACTGACACTGAGATGACTGTAGTAAATCAAAGTGTATAAACAGTAATAAATAGTGATCTAGAATTAACAGTAACACATGACCATTTTTAATGAATGTATATATACATACAGGCTCATTTCCTGAGAATTCCAAAATCACTTTATTAAGAGATGTTTAAGGGAAGAACAGTGTGAAACCACATGTCTCAGGATTCTACGGAGTTGTGCCTTTTTATTTCTGAAATTTTCCTTATTTATCTTACTATTTTAATTCTAGAATGGAGAAGAGAAGAAAATTATTTGACTGCTAACATCTCCTAGATCCTGATTAATAAAAGTGTGTCCTGCACAAGCCAGCAGTACTGGCATCACTGAGAACTTATTAAAAATGCAGAATCTCAGTCCTTACTCCAGACCTAATGGATCATAATCTGTATTTAACAACATCCCTGTGTCTGTCACAGGAAAATTTAAGTTTGAAAAGCACTGCCCTATTCCTGGGTGCTGGATGGCTCAGTTGGTTGATCGTCTGCCTTCAGCTCAGGTCATGATTCTGGGGTCCTGGGGTAGAACCCACACATCGGGCTCTCTGCTTAGCTTCTCCCTTTCCCTCTGGATGCCCCCTGCCCCCCAGTTTGTGCTCGCTCTCTCTTGCTTTCTCTATGTCAAGTAAATAGATAAAATCTTAAAAGAGAGAAAGAAAGGAAGGAAGGGAGGGAGGGAGGAAGGGAGGGAGGGAGAGACAAAGAAGGGAGCAAGAGAGGGAGAAAGGAAGGAAGAAAGGAAGGGGGACACCTGGGCTGCCTTCAGCTCAGGTCATGATCCCAGGGTCCTGGGGTTGAGTCCCACATCAGGCTCCTTGCTCAGCAGGGAGCCTGCTTCTCCCTCTCTTTTCTGCTCCTTCTGCTTGTGCTCTCTCTCCCTCTCTCGCTCTGACAAATAAATAAATCAATGAAATCTTAAAAAAAAAAAAAGAAAAAGGAAGAAAGAAGGGAAGAAAAGGAAGGAAGGAGGAAGGGAAGAAAGAAAGGAAAGAAGGGCGCCTAGGTGGCTCAGTGGGTTAAGCCGCTGCCTTTGGCTCAGGTCATAATCTCAGGGTCCTGGGATGGAGTCCCGCATTGGGCTCTCGGCTCAGCAGGGAGCCTACTTCCCTCTCTCTCTCTGCTGCCTCTCCGTCTACTTGTCATCTCTCTCTGTCAAATAAATAAATAAAATCTTAAAAAAAAAAAAAAAAAAATGAAAGAAGAAGGAAATGAAGAGAGGAAGGAAGGGAGGGAGAAAAAGAGAGAAGGAAGAGAAAGAGGGAGAAAGGAACAAGAAGGAGGGAAAGAAGAAGGGAAGAAAGAAAGGAAAGTAGGAAGGAAAGGAAGGGAGGAAGAAAGAAAGAAAAAGGAAGGAAGGAAAGCACTGCCCTACATTACTGCTGGAGTATGGAATCCAATTCTCCATTTTGTCTGTAACTCTCAAAAATTTGTAACTTCTTAACCTTTAGCTTCTAATCCTGCCTCCTGTAACTTTAAATTTTCACTTTTTCTGAACTTTGCAAGCCATCATAGTTTATCTCCTGCCTGATGCAGACATGATCCTTCCCCTTTTTTCTTTTTACACCCTTGAAGAAGGTAATACAACTCAGACCCAGGATGATTAAGGGTAAAAGAGAAAACAACAGACCCATTTACATATATGCCTTTTTATCTCTCAGAAATAATTGTTTCCAAAGCCACAGGAGGTGTAACATTCAAGACATGTTTTACCCGCAAGATACCAGCAATTATATACGTAAAGTCTCAGCATTTTTTCCTTTTGTACCAGTCTATATCCTTTCTACCTACTAAGGTCCAATGTTCTATCACTTCTTAACGTCTTCCCTAACTATTCTAGTCTCTGTTAATCTTTTGTCATTCCTGCAATACAGTATCCCACCCTTACTTTTTTTCTCTCTTCTACCCTTATCTAATTGCTTCCAGTCTTCCAACTGGAATTTAAGCTTCTTAAAGTTGTGGACCGTATTTTTTTTTCTTGAACACTAAACCTAGCACAGAGTTGTAGATTTATATAGTGGATGCTAAACGTAAAAGATTGTTGAGGGATGACTGAGTGGTTCAGTCTGTTAAGCCTCTGACTCTATCTCAGCTCAGGTCTTGATCTCAGGGTCATGAGTTCAAGCTCTGCATTGGGCTCCATGCTGGGTGTGGAGCCTACTTAGAATAAAGGGGAGAGGGCCACCTGGGTGGCTGAGTCAGTTAAACATCTAACTCTTGCTTTTGGCTCAGGTCATGAACTCAGGGTCATGAGATGGAGCCCTGAGTGGGGCTGTGTCCTCAGCCTGGAGTCTGCTTGAGAGTCTCACTCTCCTCATCCCTCTGCCTCTCCCCCAACTTGAATGTGCTATAAATTCATTCATTAATTAAAATCTTTAAAAAAGAGAAAAGATCATTGATTTTTTACCTGTCATCTCCTGTATTTTTAACTACTATATGGGACTTCATGTTCTCAAAGGACTGTTCTCAGGGAGATGGGCAGAATTCCACCAGGAGACTAATTTTTTTTCCTCTCTAAGGAGATAGAATTCAGAAGATATGTATGGGAGGTAAGGTGAGAACTATGTGTATAAGAAAATGTATCTATTCAGTCATTCCGTGTGTCTTCAGGCTCTCTATTAGCTCCTTGTGTTTTGTTTGCATATTCCATCTTGAAGAATCCTTGCTTTGCCTTTCCTTAGGCTATGTTAGCTCACTTTTTACTTCTGCTTTTTAAATGCTTTTCATATATATTTCCTTTCTTTATCTTGTATTGATGTGTCATTTCTTTATAGTTTGTGTTGCCTACCTCTTTGCTAAAACCTATTCCTGGAGGAGTTCAATGGCCACTTGATTCTTGAAATTCCTCTCACTTAAGCCCCAGATCTCCTCCATCTAGAATTCCTTAATCTCACTATTTGCTGACTCTTCCTTCTTTCTCATGAAAATGAAGGGAAAAATACTTTTATAGTTGCGTATTTTAAGAATTCATTGTCATTTCACATGAACATTTTATCGCTCTTATTCTCCAAACTCTTAGTCCTTTAGATCTACTACATTTGGAAAGGGTTTTTTATATTCATTAATCAGGGATACATGCTATTTGTTTGTTCATGATATTAAGAATTGTGTCTAGAGTCAGGTCCTCTGATGTTTAGAAAATATCCTATCCTGCACATTTTCTGGTTGTAACATTTCTCTTATAACATTTCTTCTTTTACTAGATTGCCCCAGATCATGTAGTTCCAGCTCCAGAAGAATGCTATGTGTATAGTCCATTGGGTTCTGCTTATAAACTTCAAAGTTACACTGAAGGATACGGCAAAAACACCAGTTTAGTAACCATGTGAGTAAAACTTCTTTTTGGATCATAACTTAAACTTTATATAAATGAAAATTCCTGGTTATTTTCATTCTTGTCTTAATTAAAATGTTTAAAGAGTCAAACTCCATATTTTTACTACTATTATTCTGTGTTTTCAGTTTTATGATTTGGAATACCATGATGGGAACATCTATATTAAGTATTCCTTGGGGCATAAAACAGGTAATAAAATTTTTCAGCATACTTTTTGCCTGAATTTTTTTCTCTTTATTTTGTAAGATTTACAATCAAGGTTTTAATAAATCTAGACAGTTATTGAAGAAAATAGATAATTATATTTAACTTTACATTGTCAGGTTTTTATCATAATTATTTAGGGTAGGGTAACATAATGTGGTTGCATATGAATTTATTCTAACATGATGATATATGTTGTTCTATATTTGTGTTTTTAAACAGGCTGGCTTTACTACTGGAATGTGTGTCATCATGCTGATGGGCATTTTAACACTTTATTGCTGCTACAGAGTAGTGAAATCACGATCTATGATATGTAAGAATTTGTCATGGTGAAAATAGAGTAACCATTTGGGTATTCATAAGTATTTCCTGGTGAAGGAGATCACTAATGTGTACATTCCACATGTGTGTTAACTATTTTGTGTCTAAAGATTTACTTCTCTAACTCATAGCATTCAGCTGAACTGATATGTCAATGAATTAGTGACTGCCTTTGAAATTCAGAGAGGTTTGTAGTTTCTTTACTTTGATGCTAATTTCCTGATAAAAAAAATATAATAAGGTCTTATTTTATTTATTTTTTTTTTTTTTAAAGATTTTATTTATTTGTCAGAGAGAGAGGGAGAGAGAGTGAGCACAGGCAGACAGAATGGCAGGCAGAGGCAGAGGGAGAGGCAGGCTCCCCACTGAGCAAGGAGCCCCATGTGGGACTCGATCCCAGGACGCTGGGATCATGACCTGAGCCGAAGGCAGCTGCTTAACCAACTGAGCCACCCAGGCGTCCCAGTAATAAGGTCTTATTTTAAAAAATAGTCTTTTTCAGAACTAAGTTGAAAATTCTGTGATTCTGGGTTGCCTGGGTAGCTCTGTCAGTTAAGTGTCTGACTCTTGATTTCAGCCCAGGTCATGGTCTCATCGTCCTGAGATCCAGCCCTACAACAGGCTCCTCGTTCAGCAGGGAGTCAGCTGGAGGATGGTCTCTCTCCCTCTCCCTCTAACCTTCCCCCCTGCATGCGCTCTCTCTCAAATGAATAAATCTTAAAAAAAAAAAAAGAAAGAAAAGAAAGCAAAATTCTGTGATTCTTAGCATTTGATGGTGACTTTTGATCTATCCCCCACCAAGAGATCTAAATGTTGGAATCTCTTTAAAGTAGAAAATGTAACTAGAAAAATAAGAAAATATGAACGTGTCCATTTTCGTGAATTCACAAAGCTTAGTAATACATTGCCTCTACTCATCTCTGTAAATTCTGGATCAGGGAATTACCTTTTTAGATTGTTTTAAAGTAGTTTAGGACCTAAATATACCTACATTATTTTAGGGAATCTTAGCAATTTTGAATCAAGAAACCAGGCTTTGTCTTTGAGGGGGAGGGCTCTATTAAGCAATGTATATTTTGTCTTTTTTTGGGGGGGGTATATTTTGTCTTTATTTTATTATTTATTCTTATCCCTTTCCCATTTATCCTCAAATACGTTGATGCTCTTATAGATCTGCTAAGTTTTTTGTATGATGTAGGCATTAGCCCTTTATCCATTATTTCTTGTCAATTTTCTTTTCCATTCAACATTTGAATGGCTTTTGTATTATATGAGTTTGTTTATATCTACTGATCTTTTCCATTGTATTTCTATTTCTTCATTTGATAGAAAAGGATAACCTTTCAAGGTCTATTTTAATATTGTCTTCTAACTTACTTAATTTTTGAATTAATTAGGACTCAGGAAAACTTTCCCCCATATGTCATTTAAGTATGCCAAATATTATTGAATAATATCTTGACTCTTACTCATGATTTTGCTTATCCTTGATTTTTCATTTTTTATTAATTACATAATTAATTACATTAATTATGATACTATAATCTGTTCCTTATATTAACTGTACTGTTTTGTTGACCTATGTATCTTTTTATGTGTTTGTTCTGTAATGTTTTAATTTCTGTTATATCATTCTGTGTTCTAATATCTGGTGATGGAATATTCTTAATATTTTGCTAAATATTTTGAGTTAATTGGGGGGAACACAGATTATGATTAATGGATATATTAGTAACATCTGATTTTATTCTTTCTCTTGTTTTATCTAGCATCAGTGGATACCAGTACCTGGGAATATCCAGATGTCTGCAGATACTATTTTGGCTCCTTTGGACAGTGGTCAAGTCTCCTTTTCTCCTTGGTATCTCTCATTGGAGCAATGATAGTTTATTGGGTGCTTATGTCTAATTTTCTTTTTAATACTGGAAGGTTTATTTTTAGTAAGTATCCATATCATATGCTTTAACAGTAGTTACTTTCAGATACAGTAACTACTGCAGTGTTTTAGTTTCAGCCTTAAATTCTGGACTTGGGATAAATAAAGTAAAAAGTCATTTGTAATTCTGGAAGATATAATTGATTCAGTTTGTTTTGATATCATAGACATACTTTTATCCATTTATAAACTCTTTGTGTATTTGTGTATTTGTGCTTTATATGTAAAAAGAAGTTTTTACTGCCTAGGAACAGATTTTTCCCCCCTTGGTGTCATTATCTTATCCACTGAAAAAAAAAATGATCTATGCTTATACCCACTCCCCACCTCAGTTGTTATAGATATAGTTCTCTTTTTTAGATAGAATTTACGTTCATAGAAACACATAAATCCTAGCCATACAATTTTGATGAATATATCCATGTAACCATTCCACCTTCATGAAACCATTCCATCATCCCAGAAAGTAGTGATATATTTTTTAATTATAAAAATTCAAGTTATTTGTTGCTATTATAAAATAACCTAATTAATTTTGGAAACTTTGTCTTGAATCTAGCAAATGTGTCAATCTAATTTTATAGATTCACTCTGGATTTTATGTTTAGACAGTTATGTCATTCATGAGTAATGAAAACTTCCCATCCAGTTATTACTTTAAATGATTTATACATATATATATATACACATTTATATTTATATACATATATCCTTATATTTATATATATACACACACATAAATATATGTTTATATGTACACATATTTATACATGTTTATCTTTTTTAAAGTATAAAGTTATGTAGATAATGTCTCTGGTAGACATCCTTATATTGTTCCTGTGGATATCTTTCCCCATTAAATATTAAGTTTATTGTGTGATATTGGTTATACCCTTTAGCAATTTAAAGATGTTCCTGCTTATTATTCTCTTAAGAATTTTTATTAATGTGTACTGGATTTTGTCAGACATTTAATACTCTATATCCCTTGAGATGATCATAAATCTTTTCTCCTTTATTTTTATTTATTTATTTTTTTTTTAGAGAGAGGAAAGAGAGAGTGTGAGCAGGGTGGGGCAGGGCAGAGGGACAGGGAGAGAGAGAGAATGCTAAGCAGACTTCATGCCCAGCCCAGAGCCAGACATGGGCTCTGTCTCACAACCCTAAGATTATGACCTGAGCTGAAAACAAGAGTCAAACACTTAACCAACTGAGCCACCCAAGGCACCCCAATCTTTTCTCCTTAAAATTGTTAATATGATAAGTTAAATGAATACATTTTATATTATTTAAATCATTCTTATATTCTTAGATAAACTTAGTTTAGCAGTCATGATATGTATTTTTTTATTTTTTACTGGATTCAATTTATTTTCGAGAGGAATAGAGTTACTATTTTATTTAGAACTTTTGTGTCTTTTCAAAAGAGATATTAGCCTATAGTCTATTTTGTTTTGTTTTGTTTTGTTTTTTTCTCATATTGTCCTTGTTGAGCCTTGATGTGTTAGGCTACTGTAACAAATTACCATAAACTGTTCAGTTTAAAACAAGAGAAATTTATTCTCTCACAGTCCTGGTGACTGGAATCCAAAATTGAAGTGTCACTAGGGCTCCACTCCTTTTGAAGCCTTTAGGGAAGAATACTTCTTATCTTCTCCTAGTTTCTGGTGATTGACTGTTGGCAATCCTTGGCATTCCTCAGCTTGTGGCTGCATCACCCAATTTCTGCCTGTCTTCACATGGCCATCTTCCCTCAGTTTGTCTTAGTGCAAATTTTTCTCTCCTTATTAAAGATACCAGTCATTGAATTTAGGGCCTACCCTAACATGTATGACCTCATCTTAATTATATAACTTAATAACCCTATTTCCAAATAAGGTCACATTCTAAGGTTCCTATGGATGTGGATGTGAGGGTAGAATATTCACCCTACCATACTTGGTGTTAAGGTTTTACAAGGCTTATTTGAGTCTTTGGCATCAGGAAATAGATAAAAATTGATCACCTCTAATCTTATCACTAATAACCCTTAAAGATAGTACAAAAGCCTAGAGCAGTACTCTCCTGCTTTTATCTTGACAAGCATACAGTGGAGGTGAATAATTCACACATACTTAACTTACTTAATGACCTGAAAATCTAATCCAACATTTTTTATCATATCATTTAACTTTCACATTAAACACTTAAGGCTTACTAAGGTTATAAAAGATTAATATCAAACAGAATAAAGTAACTTCAGTCTAACAAGAAAACACATTCTTTATCCATTCTCTCGTTAACTATAGAGTGATTTGAATGCTTAGATATCTGCATATGCTTTTTTTTTGAGATTTCAAGCAGTCAGAGACTTTGTTTTTCTTTGTTTTTCTTTGTTTTTCTTTTTTTTTTATTTCTTTTCAGCATAACAGTAGTCCTTGTTTTTGCACCACACCCAGTGCTCCATGCAATCCGTGCCCTCTCTAATACCCACCACCTGGTTCCCCCAACCTCCCACCCCCCACCCCTTCAAAACCCTCAGATTGTTTTTCAGAGTCCATAGTTTCTCATGGTGCACCTCCCCTTCCAATTTCCCCCAACTCCCTTCTCCTAACTCCCCTTGTCCTCCATGTTATTTGTTATGCTTCACAAATAAGTGAAACCATATGATAATTGACTCTCTCTGCTTGACTTATTTCACTCAGCATAATCTCTTCCAGTCCCGTCCATGTTGCTACAAAAGTTGGGTATTCATCCTTTCTGATGGAGGCATAATACTCCATAGTATATATGGACCACATCTTCCTTATCCATTCGTCCGTTGAAGGGCATCTTGGTTCTTTCCACAGTTGGGCAACCGTGACCATTGCTGCTATAAACATTGGGGTACAGATGGCCCTTCTTTTCACAACATCTGTATCTTTGAGGTAAATACCCAGTAGTGCAATTGCAGGGTCATAGGGAAGCTCTATTTTTAATTTCTTGAGGAATCTCCACACTGTTCTCCAAAGTGGCTGCACCAACTTGCATTCCCACCAACAGTGTAGGAGGGTTCCCCTTTCTCCACATCCTCTCCAACACATGTTGTTTCCTGTCTTGCTAATTTGGGCCATTTTAACTGGTGTAAGGTGATATCTCAGTGTGGTTTTAATTTGAATCTCCCTGATGGCTAGTGATGATGAACATTTTTTCATGTGTCTGATAGCCATTTGTATGTCTTCATTGGAGAAGTGTCTGTTCATATCTTCTGCCCATTTTTTGACATGATTATCTGTTTTGTGTGTGTTGAGTTTGAGGAGTTCTTTATAGATCCTGGATATCAACCTTTTGTCTGTACTGTCATTTGCAAATATCTTCTCCCATTCCGCGGGTTGCCTCTTTGTTTTGTTGACTGTTTCCTTTGCTGTGCAGAAGCTTTTGATCTTGATGAAGTCCCAAAAGTTCATTTTCACTTTTGTTTCCTTTGCCTTTGGAGACATATCTTGAAAGAAGTTGCTGTGGCTGATATCAAAGAGGTTACTGCCTATGTTCTCCTCTAGGATTCTGAAGGATCCTGTCTCACGTTGAGGTCTTTTATCCATTTTGAGTTTATCTTTGTGTACGGTGTAAGAGAATGGTCGAGTTTCATTCTTCTACATATAGCTGTCCAGTTTTCCCAGCACCATTTATTGAAGAGACTGTCTTTTTTCTCCTGTATATTTTTTCCTGTTTTGTCGAAGATTATTTGACCGTAGAGTTGAGGGTCCATATCTGGGCTCTCTACTATGTTCCACTGGTCTATGTGTCTGTTTTTATGCCAGTACCATGCTATCTTGGTGATCACAGCTTTGTAGTAAAGCTTGAAATCAGGTAACATGATGCCCCCAGTTTTATTTTTGTTTTTCAACATTTCCTTAGCGATTGGGGGTCTCTTCTGATTCCATACAAATTTTAGGATTATTTGCTCCAGCTCTTTGAAAAATACCGGTGGAATTTTGATCAGAATGACATTAAAAGTATAGATTACTCTAGGCAGTATAGACATTTAAACAATGTTTATTCTTCTGATCCAAGAGCATGGAATGGTCTTCCATCTTTTTGTTTCTTCTTCAGTTTCTCTCATGAGTGTTCTGTAGTTCCTCGAGTACAGATCCTTTACCTCTTCGGTTAGGTTTACTCCCAGGTATCTTATGGTTCTTGGTGCTATAGCAAATGGAATCAATTCTCTAATTTCTCTTTCTGTATTTTCATTGTTAGTGTATAAGAAAGCCACTGATTTCTGTACATTGACTTTGTATCCTGCCACATTACTGAATTGCTGTATGAGTTCTAGTAGTTTGGGGGTGGAGTCTTTTGGGTTTTCCATATAAAGAATCATGTCATCTGCAAAGAGAGAGGGTTTGACTTCTTCATTGCCAATTTGGATACCTTTTATTTCTCTTTGTTGTCTGATTGCTGTTGCTAGGACTTCTAAACTATGTTGAACAAGAGTGGTGAGAGTGGGCATCTTTGTCGTGTTCCTGATCTCAACGGGAAGGCTGCAAGCTTTTTCCCATTGAGGATGATATTTGCTGTGGGTCTTTCATGGATAGATTTTATGAAGTTCAGGAATGTTCCCTCTATCCCTATACTTTGAAGCGTTTTAATCAGGAAAGGATGCTGGATTTTGTCAAATGCTTTTTCTGCATCAATTGAGAGGACCATGTGGTTCTTCTCTCTTCTCATATTAATTTGTTCTGTCACATTGATTGATTTGCGAATGTTGAACCATCCTTGTAGCCCAGGAATGAATCCCACCTGGTCATGGTGGATAACCTTTTTAATGATACTTTGTTTTTCTTTTCAAAATTTTATTTAAATTCTAGTCAACATATAGTGTAATATTGATTTCAAGTTAGAATTTAGTGATTCCTCACTTACATGTAACACCCAATGATCATCATAACAAGTGCCCTCCTTAATACCCATCACCCATTTAGCCCATCCCCCATCCACCTCCCTCCATCAACCCTCAGTTTGTTCTCTGTTGTTAAGAGCCTCTTATCAGAGCTTCCCTCTTTTTTCCTCCCCCTTTGTTCATCTGTTTTGTTTTTTAATTCCACATATGAATGAAATTATATGGTATTTGTCTTTCTCTAACTTAATTTGCTTAGCATAATACACTCTGGCTCCATCCTCATCATTACAAATGGCAAGATCTCATTCTTTCTAATGGCTGAGTAATATTCTGGTAATATGTATACAAACACACACACACACACATACATATGTATTCACCACGTCTTCTTTATCCATTAATCAGTTAATGGACATTTGGGCTGTTCCATAATTTGGTTATTGTTGATAATGCTACTATAAACATTAGGGTACATGTACCCCTTAGAATTTGTATTTTTGTATCCTTTGGGTAAATACCTAATAATTCATTTGCTGGGTCATAGGGTAGTCTTATTTTTAATTTTTTTTTTAATATTTTATTTATTTATTTGACAAAGAGGGAGAGAGAGAGAGCACAAGTAGGCAGAGCAGCAGGCAGAGGGAGAGGGAGAAGCAGGCTGTCTGCTGAGCAGGGAGCCCAATGTGGGGCTCGATCCCAGGACCCTGGGATCATGACCCAAGCCGAAGGCAGCCACTTAACAGACTGAGACGCCTGGGTGTCCCTATTTTTAACTTTGAGGAACCTCCATACTGTTCAGAATGGCTGCACCACTTTGTATTCCCACCAACAGTATAAAAGGTTTCCCCTTTTCCACATCCTGGCCAATATCTGTTGTTTCCTGTGTTGTTAATTTTAGCCATTCTGACCAGTGTAAGATGGTATCCCATTGTGGTTTTGATTTGTATTTCCCTGATGATGAGTTATATGGAACATCTTTTCATGTGTCTATTGGCCATCTGGATGTCTTCTTTGAAAAAAATGTCTATTAATGTCTTCTGCCCATTTCTTGATTGGATTATTTATTTTTTAGGTATTGAGTTTGATGAGTTCTTTTTTTTTTTAATAAGATTGTATTTATTTATTTGACAGAGATCACAAGTAGGCAGAGAGAGAGGAAGGGAAGCAGGCTCCCTGCCAAGCAGAGAGCCTGATGCGGGGCTCGATCCCAGGACCCTGGGACCATGACCTGAGCCGAAGGCAGAGGCTTTAACCCACTGAGCCACCCAGGCACCCCGAGTTTGATGAGTTCTTTATAGATTTTGGATACTAACCCATTATCAGATATGTCACTTGAACATATCTTCTCCCATTCTGCATATGCTTTATATTTTGCGACTTCCTTTAGTATAACTTAGTGGTATATGTGAGCAATAATTATTACATAATCTTCAGTCTATTAAAACATATATAATACTTTATAAAAGCTTTAAGTGATTCTCCAAATAAGTTTTGCTGTTCTAAGTGTTGTTTTTCACCTTCTACAGGCTTCAGAACTTTATATAAGAAGTAACTATACTTATATCAACTAGTATGAGTAGAAGAAAAAAATTGTATACTTTATCTTGATTCCAGGGCTTTAACTAAATTCTGCTGTGTAGGTAGATCTTTTTTCTTTTTTTTAATCTGCAATCGTGTAAAAATTTTCCATAGTGGGAACTGAAGCCCATGACATCATTCCTGTAAGTAGAGAAGAAAGCTGAGAGTGGTTAAGCTGTGTTAATAATGAAGCAGGCTTGGTTCAGTGTTCTACGTAATATTACCACACAGTAAATCTAAAAGATTTTTGTAGATCAAAGATTTTAGGGGGTGATTGATTTAGCATCTTTCATTTGATATTAAACTGTGTTTTTTCTGTAATTTTTAGATTTTATTCATCACATTAATGACACGGATGCTGTACTGAGTACCAACAATAGCAACCCTGGTAAGTAGTTTGAAATTTAAAGTTTAGCTTGTTTTTTTTTATTTTCCACTTTGCTTCAGAAGGAATTTAAGGTGGAACATATTGCTTTACTTTAGATAAATAATTGGTGCAACATCATTACCATTATATTAACTGAGCCAGTAATAAATTGATGGCAACCAATGTGTTTCAAAAAAAGAAACTCCATGAAAGGTTGTATTAATGTGAGCCAAACAAGATTGAGTTCGTATTACACAGTTCACAATGGTAGCTCACATCTATAGAATCCATGTTTGCCTATAAATAGTCAATACATATTTTTAAGAGCTTGTATCTTTGCTAATTGTTTTGGAAGTCTAGAAGCATAGTTCTCAGGTTATTAACTTTTTTAGACATTTGCTGTATTATTTACTAATGCTTAGGATACACAAGTCTGTATCCTGGAAAATAATTTCCTAATAATGAACAAAGGTTAGTAAATACAGACAAATAAACTGAAGGCATGACTTAAAAAAAAAATCTTAATTTCTTAGAAATGTTTCCTTTAATTAATTTGTTAAAAATAAATCTTTGTGGCTTGTGGATTTATCTACTGTGGCAGTCATGAGGAAAGTGAATGTTAAAAGCTAATGTAGGGGTGCCTGGGTGGCTCCGTCAGTTAAGCATCTGCCTTTGGCTTGGGTCATGATTTGAGGGACCTGTGATAGAGCCCCAAGTAGGGCTCCCTGCTCAGTGGGGCGTCTGCTTCTCCCTTTGCCTCTCCCTCTCACCTGTTCTCTCTTTCTCAAATAAATAGGTAAAACCTTTAAAAAAAAAATGTAAAAGCTAATGTAACCTTCTTAACAGTTTTACCGTTAATCTTTAACATCGCCCAAAGCTTTATGTAGTAATGATTTAGATTTCAGAAATCCTAATTTATCTTTATGTTATGATTTCTAATGTATCTTTATGTTAGATTTATATATTTAGATTTCAGAGATACTAAATTGATATCATTCCGATGGAGGAACACATTGATCAATGAGAAGAAAATTCATTCTATATATATATATTTTTGTTTGTTTGTTTTAAGATGTATTTATTTATTTAAGAGAGAAGAGCAGACTGCCAGGGAGAAGGGCAGAGAGTTTTAAGCAGACTCTATGTTGAGCACGAGCCCGATGAGGGGCTCTCATCCCACCACCCTGAGAACATGATCTCCTCCGAAACCAGGAGTCAGCAGCTCAACCAGCTCTGCCACCCAGGCACCCCTCAACATATATTTATTAAGCTTATTATGTGTCAGGAACTATTCTAGGCTCTGAGGATATAATGAACAGATGGAAGTCTCTCCTCTCTTAAAGCAAATGTTTCAGTGTTTACTGTTCAGTGTCTTTGTTCCTTAATTAAACTCATTAACCTGTGTTTTATTACACTAGCAAATGAGTGGGTGCAGTACCAGCATTTCTGTGGATAGACAGACACACACACACACACACATACACACACACACACTTTTGAATACTTAAACACTAACATATTTTGGTATAACTTTAAAATATGTTCATAAGGTTCCCCATTACACTGATTTGGAGAGTACCATCAGCAAAGTTAGTTTACTTTGCATTCTTCTCTTTGAATGATGTGTTAAATACTATGAAACAATCCATTTCAGTTAATGTAAAATTATAGTTGACCTTTATTGGATACTTATTGTGTGTGGGCATTATCCTAAATGTTTTATAGCACTTCTGTAAGGTAGATTATGTTAATTTCACTTCCTAGATGGAAAAACCAAAGCATAGAGAAGTTAATGACTTGCCCAAAGTTACACAACTACTAAGTGAGAGAGTCAAGATTCATTATTTAGTCAGTTTAGTTCCATAGCCTGTGCTGTTTACCACTGTAATTACTAGCATAAAAAAAAAATTCAAGTTAATTTACTTCTGTCCAGACATAGAAAAAAAAAATACATGTTAAAATGCAGACTAAGCAAGAAAAGTAAGTGTTTGCCTTTGTGGCATGCCAAATATATAATGGATAGAGAATAAAATTAAAAACAGAACTTAAAATGAATATATCATTTTCTCTTTAGCTAATGATGAGAATGCTTGTTACTTATTATGAGTATTTTTCACCAGCATTAAGAGTTGTTTTTTTAAAGTGCTGATTATTAAGGAAAGTAGTATTATGAAATTAGAAACACAGAATGATTTTTATCATCTCTCCTAACAGAAGAAATTGACAGCCACTTCAAGATCAGCGTTAGGAAAAATGTATTTTACTCAGCAGTTCTCTGGCTATCATCTAAGCTATTAGGCTGTTATAAAATGTGATAAACTCACACGAGAATTATTCCATATTGCTGGAATTCAAGATTCATAAGCTATAAGCAAGTTAGGTTTTGGCACTAACATGTCATCTATTTTAATGATGTCCACTTTTTATTCCAAACTCATAGATTTTGTTTATTGTTAAGGAAATCTGTTCTGAGGCAGGTGGGTGTCTCAGTCAGGTGTGCATCTGTTGACTTTGACTCAGGTCATAATCTGGGGGTTGTGAGATTGAGTCCCATGTTGGACTCTGCACTGGGTGTGGAACCTGCTTGAGATGGTCTTTTTCCCCCCTCTCCTTTTGCCCCTCCCCCATCTAAAAAGAAAGAAGGAAACAAACAAACCTGTTCTTTGGACTTTGTGTGGGTTATTAGCACAAAGGTAGCAAACAGTCACCCTGAATATTTCTTACATTATTGTATAAATAAGATCAAATACCGTTCAGTTCAGTATTTTCTCTCTGGCAATGGAACCAAAAGATAGTTGGTAGGATAATTTTGTAGCTTCTCATAGAAATTAAGGATATACCTCAGAATTTTCTAAGATTCTCCCACCTTTAATTATTTGTAAGTAAAAGTTTCCTAATGTGTTCAAATATAATCCTCTATTTTTTTTCCAGAAAGCAGAAACTTATTCATGATACAAGTTGAGTTTGGTAGAGCAAGTGTCAGTGTCTGGGATAGCCATTTGGTATTCTTCATGGTCTTCTCTAACCTGATGCTTTTCTGTTGCAGTGATTTGTCCAAGTGCTGGGAGTGGTGACCATCCCAACAATGGCTCTATGATTTTCTATGCCAATGACACAGGACTCGAACAGTTTGAAAAATGGTGGAATAAGTCCAAGACAGTGCCCTTTTACCTCATAGGACTCCTCCTGCCACTGCTCAATTTCAAATCTCCTTCATTTTTTTCAAAATTTAATATCCTAGGTAAGCTGAGACACTGTGTTATGGAGCTTCTGTGTAATAGAGTTCACACTGGATTCTGTGGAAGTATGATCTGGCTGGGGAGAGTTACCTACCAGGCCTATTCACCTATGTTTAATTTGTTGACTTATATGTTACCCTGCTTTGTGGTTTTCTTTTGGAGTTTGACACAGAGAAAAATGTAGATGACCATTTCAAGTCCAGGTTCTTTTTTTAAAAGATGAATTATTAGTTGTCCCATTCTAGCCTGACTGAACCACTGTTCCTCATTCCTTGGTGGGTACAACTAGAGGAAACAGATTAAGATTTCGAGAGGAGAGATCCAAACTGGATAATACAGGGATTCTCACTACTAAGGATTGGAAACATAAGAATTTACTGGAATATTTTTTCCTACAGTTTCTACGTAAGAGTATAGCACAGAATTATCACCTAGCTTTCAACCTGGAATATCATTCTCTAACTCACACTAATGAGGTTTATTCTGCTTTTGCTGTCCTCCTCATTGCTTTTTCTTTACTGGAACACTGTTGCCTCCTTAAAAGTACAGACTTCTTACCATGAGTCCAGTTTTTCAGAAATTTCCGAAATCACTGAAGAAATTTCACAAGTTTTTGCATCATTAAAGAAATGTTTTTTATCCCATCTTCATTTGCAATACTGAACTTTAAGATGACAAAAGGAATCCCCAATGAAAACTTAGATCTGGTTAACTAAAGATAAGGATAATATTCATAAAAAATTGATAACCCCAAATAATCCATAGCGTTTCACCTCCTCCCTATAGATCTGATCTCCTGGTAGGCAGTGTAGAGTATAAAATAATTAGATTATTCATCACATCAAGGAGTTAGCTTTTGGGGTTTTCAGAAAACCAAAGGGGGAGGTAAGTTTCTTTATACCTCTCTGCCTCACAACAGGATTCTCTGCAAGACTGCCACAGACATACACAGAAAATCAAGCATTGGGATATAAGCTTTGGCCTCCTTTTTTTTAAAGTTTCTGTATCAGCTACTCTGCAAACCCACAGTAGAGCTTATATAGCTCATTGGTGGTTTCCTGATTTGCTTGCCAACTTTCCTATGGAACAGATCTTTTAACGTTAGCATATAAACTGGGAAAAGTATTTGCTAAAACAATCACTAGACTTGTAACCAGGTTGATTATTCTCTACCTCCTTAAGAATATTTTGCTTTTGTCTTTTTTTTTTGTACTTGCCCTTTGTTTTAAAACTATAGCCTCTTTACAGAAATTAGTATGTAATTCCTATAGAAAGAAACCCACTTGAATCTCCTGACTCTACTCCATAATGACTGGACTTAATTCCTTAAAAGGAAAACTCTCTAACTTCTAGATTACTAAAAACTCTGAATACCTACACTTCACCCTGTGTATGAATAGCTATGAATGGAATCTGTAATCTTATCATCTAGCAGGTAGTACTACCCAGTCAAACAGTTCTCTAGGTACTAGTTCAGATTATTCATGGATTATTTGGCTTATCACCTTTCTCAAATAGTCTTATGAGACACATCTTTTCTTTCTCTTCTTTCTTAATTTTCTTTTCTTTCTTTTCTTTCTTACTTTTCTTTCTTTACTTTCTTATCATCTTATAGTAAATGCTGTGACAGACTTTTCCAGCATTTTGACCATCTCTAATATTTCCAATATAAAGGATAAGAGTCAGTTTCATGTTGCTTTTTTCCTCCTGTGTAATCTTACAATTTTGTAATGAGTTTTTTTGCATGTGTCCTCTACTTAACTCAGCTCTTAAATAAATTAAGCAGTTTTGCATTCTTCAATATATGAGCTACCTTCATTTAGTTCTTAGGCCTACTACATAGAGTTTTGCTTTCTGAAAACTCATGTAGCTTCTTTCTATTCTTTAGATCCCACCTGGGTTTTAGTAGGAATAATCAATGAGAGTAATAATTTTCCACACTTCGCTGAAATTTAGAAACAAAGCTTAACTTTAAAATAATCTGTAAAACACACAAAGATGATAAATGGTTTCTGAATTTTCTCTCACAGGCACAGTGTCCGTTCTTTATTTGATTTTCCTTGTCACGTTTAAGGCCATACACTTGGGATTTCATTTGGAATTTCACTGGTTTATGCAAACAGAGTATTTTGTACCAGGTAAGCCGTTTTGGCCAAATAATCAATAAATTACAAAAATGTGACCTGTTAGTTAACTATTGTTAAGTATTGTTATTATAAAACAAATAATGGCATTTTTTAGATGAGCACTTTTTATTAATCCTATTAAGCTAAAAACGGGAGTGCAGTTAAAATTATTCCACTCTTCTCTCAGGAGTAACTAGGGCCCTTTGTCATTTCTGCTTGAGAATTGAAGTTCATTGAAGTTATAATGCAATTAAAAATTCAAACTCATTTCCTAGACTTTTCTGGAGAAGCATACCCCTAGAATTTCAGAAGTTTAGAACGTAGTCACTGATTAACATATGTGGATAATACTATTCATTAATATCATTGTTCCCTTATGGTTTTTTAAATTGCTTTTAATTAAGATGGTGGTTATTAAGTGTTCCCTCCCTCCTTTTTTCTCTCATGGTTATAACTTGGCAATTATCTTAAGTTTCACCCAAATTTAGTGGATTTGGGGTATGATAAAGGCACCGTGAAGCAATGAATGGATGATGCTAAGTGAGAAGACATTAGAAATTGGAAGTGAATATTACACTAGTATCCTGAAAACTCGTAAAGAGAAAGCAGTACAAAATTCTCTTATTTGTTTAGAAAGACAACTTTCTTTCCATTCTTCACCTGTTAATTCAGGTAGGCTAGAATTCAAGTCTATTTAGTATTTGGTATTATTCTGAGCAATTATAACTGTCTACTGTGTGAAGCAATTATAATTGTCTACCATTCCTTCTGTTGCTTTTGTTATAACATGCCTGGGTTTTCTGAGTATACAGAGTTGTTTGTTGGAAGTTGTTACTATGTTTACTTAGATCATCTGGGTGCATTAGCTTTGATTTTTTTTTTTTTTATTTCTGTAAGGAGCCCATAAAGACTAAAAAGGCAGTGTAAATTCAGGATAAAGGAAATACTAGAGACTGAAAGGCATCCTTCTCTTCCATATTGTATTTAAAATTGGATATGAATGAAAATGACCACTTAAGGCTAGTGTTTCCATTCATCGATAAAAATAGTCTGGGATGTTTTTTCTAAAATTAGGTCCATACTGATTTATATTAAGAGTCTTAGTGATGGGGGCGCCTGGGTGGCTCAGTGGGTTAAAGCCTCTGCTTTTGGCTCAGGTCATGATCCCAGGGTCCTGGGATCGAGCCCCGCATTGGACTCTCTGCTCAGCAAGGAGCCTGCTTTCCTTCCTCTCTCTCTGCCTGCCTCTCTGCCTACCTGTGATCTCTGTCAAATAAATTAAAAAAAAAAAAAGAGTCTTAGTGATAAACATTTCTGCTAATAATAGGACATGAGAGAAATATGAAAAAAAGGAGAGTGTAAATATTTAGAAGATGGAAAAGAAAACATATTTAAATACATATTAAGCCATTTATTTTACTTTATTTCATTTCTAAATGATACAAAGGGAGAATCATGAGGATTAAGGAGTCTTGTGTTTATATTTGTGGTTCTGAAATTAGTTAGATTATTGTAAGTGAAGAATTTTTTAGGAATCAAAATATGTCGTAAATCTTTTCCAGTAAAGGCTAATGAAGAAGCAGAGAACTTTGGAGGGTGTAAGTCTTTACTATCCTGATGAAGAATTCACATAAACTTGTAGTTCTGATTAAATCTTTATTTATATACTTTTGTTACCAAAATTCTCTTTCTCAATGCAGTGGATCCTATTGCCCTTCTTCCCAGGTAATTGGAAAAATAGGAAAAACTACTCATGGGTGTTTTATCTTACCCTTTCCTGCCTTTAGGACTTTATTTCTGTAGTTATCCCTTCTTTCTCCTTAATCATGTACCATCAAATATTTCCTTTACTTCATTTCTACCAGATAAAAATCTATCTCTCAGTCTAAAAACAAAAACTCAGATAATTTCACATTCCCCTCTAGCTTTACTTTACTTTCCTTCCCTTTAAAGAAATACTCTTTGAGAGAGTTGTCTGTTTCACTCTTTCTACTTCTCCTTCCATTTTGCCTTAAACTCATGTTTGCTAGGCTTTTGCCCCAGTCACTCCACTGTATCCAGTAATTCCATCTTAGCCAAGTCCAGTTCTCACATCTCTTTCTGCTCAGCTTAAAGCAGCAGGATAACATTTGGTCGCTCTTTCCATCTTAAAACATTTTCTGAACTTCTAAAACCCCATTTTCTCTTGATTCTTCTGCATGACTCCTTTCTCACATTCCTGACCAGTTAGTTATGGAGTTATCCAGAGTTTTATTCAAACATCTTTTTTCCCTACCTTTATTCCCTAAGTAATATCTTGTAGTCACCTAGCTTTATATATTGTCTGTATGGTGACCAGTCCCAATTTTATATCTCTAGGCCAGATCTTTCCACTATCATCCACCCTTATATATCTCCTTGCCCCTTCTACATCTCCACTTGGACATCCACTAGGTATTTCAAACTTATATATATGAAAACCAAATATTTGTTTCCCCATCCCACCAAAGTGCTTTATCTGCTCTTCTCCAAGGTTTCTCTATCTCAAAAAGTGGTAGCTCCAATTTTCTGCTTGCTCAGGCCCCAGACTTTAGAATCATACTTGATTGTTTTTTTTCCCCCACCTTCCATATCTGCAAAGCATGTCAGCTGTACTTTCAAAGTAAATTGAGAATCTAGTCAGATTCTTTTTACCATTTGCACCAGAAAGAATTAGTCAAGCTGCTAATCTCTCACCTGAATGATTATAGTAGCCTCCTAACTAATCTCACCTTTTCCAGTCTGCCTCCCCTTCTGTAGACTGTTCGATACTTAGCAGCCAGAGTGAGGTTTTTAAAGATTTTTTTAATTATTATTTATTTATTTGACAAAGAGAGATCACAAGTAGGCAGAGAGGCAGGCAGAGAGAGAAGGGGAAGCAGGCTCCCCGCTGAGCAGAGAGCCCGATGTGGGACTCGATCCCAGGACCCTGAGATCATGACCTGAGCCAAAGGCAGAAGCTTAGCCCACTGAGCCACCCAGGCACCCCAGAGTGAGGTTTTTAAAACACAACCTTCAAAAGCCTGGTTTCCCATTTCATTCATCTCATTCAGAATAAAACAAGCCTCTGGGTGCCTGGGTGGCTCAGTTGGTTAAGCCTCTGCCTTTGGCTCAGGTCCTGATCTCAGAGTCCTGGCATGGAGCCCAGTGTTGGGCTCCCTGCTGAGCTGGGAGTCAGCTTCTCCTTCTGCCTGCTACTCCCCCTTGCTCATGCTCGCTCTCTCTCTCTCAAATAAATAAATAAGAATCTTAAAAAAGAAGAAGAAGAAAAAGAAAGCAAGCTTCTGTCATAGTCCACAAATCCTACGTGATCTGACTCCTGGCTTCCTGTCTGCCGTCATTCCCTACTACCTTTCTACTTATTCAGTCCACTCCAGCCACAGTGTTTCCCTGTTGTTCCACAGCATACTCCTAGCTTAGAATCCTTGCACTAACTTTTACCGGCATATGAAATGACCTTGTCTTTTTTTAGGAAGCCACATGGTTATTATCATTAGAGAGGCCTTCCTGGGCTTCCTGCCCACTCCCAGTTCTTGTGACTTATTTTTCTCTAGTGCTCTCATCACTACCAAATCTTATATGCAGGTATCCCTGGTTATCTAAATCTATTAAGTTCCTAATTCTAATAATGAATTGAAATATTAAGGGATATCTATTATTCTGATCTACTTGGTTCCTGAGTTTCAGATAGAAAGTAGCAGAAGTTAAGATAACAAAGGACTTTCTAAAAATGTTTCTTAATCTATTTGTTTCTTAAATTCAGAGAATGAAAGTTCAGTTGGTAAGGAATACCTGTATTTTTTTAAACCTGTGTATCTGTTGTCCTTAATAAGAATGCTAGCTCCTGAGAAAAGGGATGTTCTTTGTTTTTGTTTTCTGTACTTCTCTATTACTATTATATCCCCAAGGCCTATAATAATTCTGAGGGCATTGCAAGTAGTGTATAAACAATGTTGAATGAATAAAGGTGTTTATCCCTACTCCCTCCTGAATCTCATTAAAACAATGGTTAAGAAATAAATGTAAAAATGGGCACCTGGGTGGCTTAGTCATTAAGCATCTTCCTTCGGCTCAGGTCATGATCCCAGAGTCCTGGGATCAAGCCCTGCATCGGGCTCCCTGCTCAGTGGGAAACCTGCTTCTCCCTCTCCCACTCCCCCTGCTTGTGTTCTCTAGCTCACTGTGTCTCTCTGTGTCAAATAAATAAATAAATAAATAAATCTTTAAAAAAGAAAAAAAAAAGTAAGCAAGAAATGTAAAAAAAAGACACAAACAGACTATAGCAGAGACAATAGCAGGAAAGAGACGGCAACAGATTGTTAGATACTAGAAAACTGGTAGATGGTTAGACTGACAGCAAAGCAGACAGAGCTGAAATTTAAGTACCTGCAGAGAGTGACTCTATCACAGAGGAGATCATTTTCAGCTATACATGGAAACTCTCAGTATTTGGAGGCATTTGGGTCATTCTGAAAGTAAGAGTAAGGAAAAGAGCTTAAAAAGGAGCGTATTCTTTGGGTGGCTCAGTGGGTTAAAGCCTCTGCCTTCGGCTCAGGTCATGATCCCAGGGTCCTGGAATTGAGCCCCGCGGGCTCTCTGCTCAGCAGGGAGCCTGCTTCCCTTTCTCTCTCTCTGCCTGCCTCTCTGCCTAATTGTGATCTCTGTCTGTCAAATAAATAAATAAAATCTTTTAAAAAAGGGGGGGAGTATTCTTTGAAAGTTTACGTAAGGAATAGATAGATGGTTTGATTATAAATCCCTTTTCCTCCTCAACTTAGCAAGAGATGGAAAAAACTGAAATGGTTAGCCTCAGGACTCAGGTTCTCCACATACAACAAAGGGTAGGATAAAGGCTTTAGTCTGAAAACAGGGACTAAGTGAAAGTGTTATATTGAGTGGTAAGACTCTCCTCTCTCCCTGTACCCCTCCAATTCTCTTTTCTTTACTCTTTGGCTCCCAGAATGCTGACAGCATAGGATAACAGAGGGTTCTCC